AGGTGAAAGGTGGGACCTTGTCATGGCTCTGCTCTCATCATGGTGCCATGATGAGCAGAGTATCCCAGGCCTTGTCCAGGAGAGCACAGCAGTGCCAGGGAGGGATTGGTCCCCTGACTCTTCCAGCAATCCCTGGGAAGTCACCACAACAGAGGACCACAATGATCCTCATCATCACAGGGGGCTCAAGGTGGTCCTCCTCATGGAGACAGCAAGTCTTGCAGCCAAACAGGCCACGGAGGGGAATTGGCTGGTGGTCCCCAGGAGCTCTGTGGAAGGGCTGAGTGCCTGGGCACTGGTCAGACTGGGGGCCTGCCCAGGGCACTGACAGCCGTGACCCAGTGGCCACAGGGACAAGCATCAGATCCCTTCTGGAAGGGCTGAGGGGTTGTCCTCATGGTCCCCTGCTCGGCAGGGCCCTGACACCCCAGAGCAGAGCATTCACTGCCAAGTTTCTCCCTGAATCCCCTCCTGCCCTGGGCATGTGGTGGGATTTTTTTTTTCCCCAGAAGATGTGGAGGAAAAATGGAAGAAATGGGTATCAGTGGTTTAACCCTCAAAGGTGAGCTGCCATCGAGCATGACTCCTCCTGGGCATTCCCACAGCGATGATGGAGAAGGTCCTGGGACCTGTCTGGGTAACCACTGGCTCTGCTTTTTGGAGCAGCTCATGGACCCCCAGCACTGTGTGGACCCTCAGGGCCAATTCTGCCTCCTCCTTGTGCCTGAGCTCCCGGCCTCCCTACTGCTTGGCCATGTCCCTCATCCCCACTGGAACTCCATGGGGTGGTTATGCCTGCTGGGCAAGACCCAGTTGGATGCACTTGCTGGATCCCACCAGGTTGCTGGAAGGTGTTGGGTGACCCTGGGCAGGGGTCCCTCTACCAGGGATCTCTGCCCACCCTGGCAGTGAGGCTGAGCCCTTGGGCACCAGATCCTGTGTCTGCTGCTGGAAAAATGGATTTGGTGCAAACCCCAAGAATTCAGACCAAGTGCAAAGACATGAGCTGGGTCTCAGCATTCCTTTCCACGAAGCAGCCTCCAGAGACCCTGGAGAGGGAGAAGGTCCCACCCTGGGGATGAAGCCAAGCCTGGATGGCGCAGCTGGGAGCTGGGCTGAGCACATCCCACCCTCCCTCAGGAGTGATCCCCAGGGGACACCCTGTGTGTGATGGGCGCAGAGGGTGCTCAGGGTTCCCGGGGGCCGCGGGGGCTCCGCGCAACACGTACCGAACTTAGCTGCCTTTGCTGCTGCTGCTGCCGACGGCACCCCTGGGGACAAGGAGAGAAGGACCCTCAGCCACCAGGGCCCCACAGAGCTGGGTGGTGGGGACAGGGCTCCTGGGAACAGTCACCTGCCACTCCAGGGACTCCAACGCCGGGCACCAATCCGGGCACAGCTCCAACGCCAGGGACCAAGCCAGGGACACCAACACCACCAACTCCAGGCACTGCCCCTGGAGCTGGAGGGAAGCAGAGCAGTCAAACTCCCCCAAAACACCCCTCTCTGCCACTGGGCTGTCCCAGGGTCACAGGAGACTCCAGGGTACCTGGCTTTGTAGAGGGCTCCCCCTCCTCACAAAGCAGCTGCTCGGGGAACCCGAGTGCACCCAGAACTGCAATTCCCAGCTCCCTACACCCAGTTCAGGGGTCTGGAGTCCACCTGGCCACCCAGGAGCTTGGGGACCCCCAGGGCTGGGGCTGTAAATCCCAGCTGTGCCCATGGCTGGCACGTTTTCCCTGGATGCTCCAATGAGTGGCTTGCTACTTGTTTTTCTCCCTCAAAACAGCCAAGGAGGAAACAGAGAGGAGGAGATTTGCGTCCCCAGGAGCATCCCTCCACTAAGGAATGACAGTTCAGTACAGACACCATGTCCCTCGACACCCTGCTGGCACCTGGCACAGCAAAACCCTGTCTCTTATGGAGAAACCACGTGTGAGGGGGATGCACTGCCCTGTGCCAGGCTGCTGCATCACGAGGGGTCGGTCAGCCCTGCATCACTGCCCAAAAAGCTGCAGGAGCCAGGATAGAGAACTGGGAGAGCTCCCCAGGAGGTGGGACAGTGGCTGCTGGGGCAGGTGGTGGAGCCACACAGCCCTGATATCAGTGCAAGGCTTCTCCATGTTTTGACACGTGTCGGAGGCACTGGGAACTCACCGAGGGCTCCTGCCTTCGCCGCCGCCTTCGCTGCTGCCGCCGCCGCTGCTGCTCCTCCAACTGTGGGATATCAGAGAGTCAGGGGTGTGGGACAAGGGGAGGTGATCCCCCTGAACCCCAGGGCCAAGCCCTGTCACCCCCTCACCTCCAACTCCTGGCACGCCGGGTACCAAGCCGCCGACTCCTGGGATGCCGCCAACCCCAGGCAGGACACCGGCTCCTGCCACAGGGGAGAAGAAGATGGTCAGCCCAGCGATGCAGGGACACGACCAACATGCCCCCAGCCTGGCAGGGAGGGCCCAGCTGCCCCGCTGGGGACACGTGTGGTGGATGTGCCGTGCAGGGCCACTCACCGTATTTTGCTGCTGCCTTTGCCGCTGCCTTTGCCGCGGCCGCCTGAGCTCCGACTCCTTGGGAAGGACATGGGCAACCACTGAGGTGCCGAGACCATCCCCACCTCGGCTCCCCCACCCCGCAGGGACCCCGGGGACCGGGCACTCCTGCCAGCATCTGTCCCCTTCACCTTTGGGACGTGATGCACACTCCAGGCTCTCCCTGGGGGTCACCAGACAGCCGGGCAGTGCCCAACACCCCAAAGGGACAGGGTGCCCGGTCCCCCTGCCCTGCCCGTGCCAGTCCCACACCCTGGGGCTGCGGGGTCGGAGTGTACCTGTCCCGGTGGGATACCCTGCCTTCCCTGCAAGGCCTGCTCCTGGCCCACCGGGCCTGAGGCCTGCAACCACAAACACAACGGCACAGCCACGTCAGGCACCGACCCGAGGACGGAGGCGGAAGGAGCAGCTCCCTGGCCCAAAGGGTCTCCTCCCCCTGGCACAGAAGGATGCCCAGAGCCAGCTCCTCCGCAGCTGAGATGCCACTTCAAACATCCCTGCCTGGAGCTGGCGGTGGCTCAGGATGTGTCCTACGGATCAACAGCTCCCAGCCCCATGGCATGGGGTACTGGGAGGGTTGTGTCTCCCAGCCAGGCCCACAGCCATCATGGGCAAGGCACGAGGTCCTCAGGGGACCACCTGGGAGAGGGATGCCCCTCACGCCGCCCCGAGGGTCGCGGTGGCAGCCAGTGGAGCCACAAGGAGCTACGACCGCGGGGTGAGGGCTATGGGCACTCCCTGTGGGGCAGCTTACCATTGGTGTAGGGCAATCCATAGCCACCTGGAGAGGAGAGAAGGTGGGGGGTTAGCACCTGGCTGCCCGTGGCTGTGCTCCTGCCCCTCTCTGCCAGCCGGCTGTGCATCAGGATAGTAAATCCTCCAGGATACAAATCTCCATGGTAGAGCCAGGCCAGGAGATGCTGTTCTCCCTCACCTTGGAAGCAGTGGCTCCAAGGAGAGCTGCCCACTCCCAGGCCTGTGCCGAGGGCTGTGGCGCCTGAAGCTGGTTTTGCGGGAGCCTCCCATGACCCCACTCCGGCAGGGGGTCCCCCGGGAGCCCCGCGGCAAGAGCTGTACCCAGCTGGCTGCGCCACAGCCAGCTCCAGAGGAAAGGTTTTAATTGGAATCAGGACTTGGGAGCCTTCACTGAAACGTGACCTCGTTAGGAGGTCGGCGTGAAGGGACAGGGAGGGATTACGAGCGGGAACATCGTGGCCAGGGAAGCGTCTCCTTGCGAAAGAGCCGGATCCCAGCGCTCGGAATGGCGCGGGGATGCCCCACGCTCGTCGGGAACTGTGCCCTTGGGAGCAGCATCCAGCTCCCATCACTGCTGGCAGCAGCCTGAGGGGAGGCCATGGGCTGCCACATTCCTGATGGGAACACCAGGCAGGGTGGAGGATGCCTCACACCCCAAGCCCTCCTGCTGAGGGGGCAGGACGGGATTGCTCATGGCCCAACATCTCCCTGAGAGCAGGGAGCCATCCCCTCCCACAGCCAGCATGTGGGGACCAGATTTCCCTGCACCCTGCCAGGCTGTCCCATGGTGTCCCACACCAGCACAGTGCTGCTGGAAGGCAGAGACTTTTGCAGGCTGTGGTAGCCGTGAGCTGTGCTGGGCATCCCCAACATTGAGGACCCCTCGCTCGCTCTCCCCAAAGCTGTGCAAGGGTCTGGCACTGGTGTGACACTCTTGGAGGTGACTCCAAGGGCCAAGAGTCGAGGTCCTTGGGCCTCCAAGGATTTTGCCGGGTCCAAGTCCAGCCCCTCCCCACCCTGAGCTGAATGGGAGAGCAGCTCCTGCCCTGGGGCTGTGCCCACCAGGATGTCACCAGAACTGCCAGGGGGGCTCAGGCCAATGGGCACAGTGGGTGGCACGGGAAGGGCTCTGCACAGACTTATGTCACCCAAGCACAGCTGAACACTGGGATCCCTATGGCATCAATGGGACCCCGATCTCAGCCACCGGCTGACCCCCCAGAGAGGGGGGTGACCCCAGGGCCACCTCCTGAGCAGGGACAGCACAGGAGTGAATCATCTGAAAAAGTGACTTCCCACTGACAAAGTAGGTTTGCCCTGTCCCCTCATCCCCTGTCAACCCAGACCTACTGCAATGGGAACAGTGCAGGGGACACCCTCATGTGTGGCAGCCCCCGGATCCATCTGTGGCATCAAAACAAGAGCCTCTACAGCCAGCCTGGCCTGTTCCTGCACTGCCAGCCCCAAATCCTCAGAGGTGACAAACTGACATCCCCCAACACCCCAGGAACAACCTGAGAGTCAGGTGAAACCACAGCTAGGGACACCCCTAAAATTGGCACCCTCAACACCCCAGGAAGGTCTGGGGTGCCGGGTGAAACCGCAGCTGGGGACAGCCCTGCTGTCCTGTCCCCATGGGGCTCCCTGCCCAAGGGGCGGGTGTCCTCCCGTGATATATTTGGTGACGGCTCCCCCGGAGGTGGGTCAGCTGGGCTGTGGGCCACCGTGGGACGGAGCCAGGCACGGCTGGCAGCTTGTCCTGCGCACCGGGCACCCCATGAAAGACGGTTTGGGGCCGGGAGCCCAGACGGGATCCGACGGCGGGGCCCTAATGAGCGTGACTGTTCGGCGGAGGAAACCGGGGCGGGCCAAGTATTCCCGCTGCCGTCTGTGGTGACGGGCCCCGCCGGGGGGAAGCCGGCAGAGCTGCCGGGGCTGGCGCCCGTGCCGGGCTGGGATGTGCTTCCCGAGGGTGGGATGTTCTTCCCGAGGGTGGGCTCCCCTCGCCCGGGCTCTCCTGCCTGCAGCAACTTGGTGAGTGGGGAAAACAGCACCCCAGGGATGGGGGTCCCTGCCCGGATCTGGCTGATCTCCTCCTCGAGGATGCACTTGGAGCTGGCAGCACGGCCCCTGGAGGGCACAGCACGTGCCACTGTCCCTCCATAGGCAGAGCTGGCACAGGGCTGGGGGATGGAGGCCCCCGGATCAGCCCTGCCTGGGAAGGGGGTGCTGAGCTCCACCGGGTTTCCCTGGCCTGGGGCTGAGCCTCGTCGGGGTGGGGAGTGGGGAGGGAGACCTGCCTGGAGCTCCTTGGCACAGCTCCTTGAGCCAGGACGCCTGGCCCAGGTGAATGCCTGGCACAACCCCAGGAGGTACAGTGAGCAGACAGCCCTGCAAGGGCTGTGCCTCCTGCCAGGAGGAGCTGGCAGGGACATCCCGGGGTGGCCTGGCCCAAAGCACGTCCCCAGAACACGACCCTTCCTACCTTACAAGAGCTGGAGAGAGGCACAGCATCATCCATACGGACCAGGGGAAAGAGCAGAGGCACCACCCCAGCAGCTGCCCATGGGGCAGCCACAGGCAGGGCTGCCCAGGGGCCCATCTGCCCAGAGCCCTGGGCTATGTCCTGCTGTCCCAGGGCCAGCACCAGCACTGCCAGGTCCAGGGGACCCGTGGGCACAGCCCCAGGGAACGGCGGGTCCTTCTCCTGACACTGCCGGGGGTCCTCCACCCGCAGCCCCGTTGGCTGTGGCAGCAGCTTACCTGGGAGCTTAGGAGCTTTGATGGGATACCCCAGAGGGACACCAGGCTGTGGACCTCCAAAACCTCCCAGTCCTGCAAAGCCAACAGCACACTCTCACCTGGAGCCTGCACCATGACTGCCACCAGTCCTTGGGAGAGGGGAGCGCCCCAGGGCACCCCGGGAGAGGAGAGTGGGTGGCCTAGGAAGCCCTGAGGCATCTTCTGGTGTGGGGAGACCATGGCTGTGATGGACAGGCTTGGGAAGGAAGAGAAGGACAGGCAAGAGAGACGAGACACTCACCAGGGATTCCTCCAAAGGCCCCAACTCCTAAAATGAAACACAAGGACACCTGTGTGAGCCCTGGGGCTGGGCCTGGAGGCCCAAATCAGCCTGAGTGGGTTCAGCTGGAGGTTGGCTTCGCTCACCCATGTGCCCTGGAGGGCTGTGATCCCAAAGGATGGGTTGGAGCCAGCTCCAGTGGGATGGGGGGGCAGAGTTGGAGCCAGCCATGAACCCACCCTGGTGTTCCCAGTGGATTGAGGGACCTACCTGGAGCTTTTGGCTTGACTCCAGCTCCAGTGGGTACTCCGGGCAGCACCCCTACGCCAGGGAAGCGAATGCCTGCAGCAGAGAGCCGAGGGTGAGCTTGGGGGTCATGATGTTCGTGGTACCCAAGACCGCCACACCCGGCTCCCAAATCCTTGTCACCCACCTCTGGCTCAGACCTAACTGTGGGACAGGGCACCCTCATCCTCGGGGGCTTGCCAGGACCTCTCTGTGCCAGCCTGCCTGCTCCCCCAGCTGCCAGGGAAGGGTTTGCTGCAGCCCTGGAGGTGCCTGGGGCTTGGGGGGCACATCGGGGAGTCTGAAGGGAACATGGCATTTAGGAGTGTGTCCCACTAGTGACAGCAAAGCCCAGCCAAGCCCGGGAAGTGCTCTCTGCCCAGGAGATGCACAGTGGCCTCAGGACTCTTCAGGGAGCAGGGGGTGGTCCTGCCTGCTGGACCCCAACCCTCCTGGGGCAGCAGACAGTGTTTTGGCCTGGCAGTGTTTGGGTTGGGTTTTTGGGTTTCGAGTTTCTCTTTCGTTTGGTTTTGGTTTGGTTTTTTTGTTTTTTTTTCCCCCTTTTACAAATGTCTTTCATTAGAACTCGTGTGTTTTCAGACATGGAAAAGACATTCCTGACCAGCAACACACTTCTTCTCCGGACAGTGTCGAAACATCTTGTTTTCACAAGTTTTCCTCCCCCAAATTACTCTGCACTGAGGAATTCCTCTCTCCCCGCCACCTCCTCCCCCTCCTTCCCACACCAGCCCTGCCGTGGCCGTGCCAGCTCCTCTCCCGGTGCCGGTGCCGCCTGCTCCCGCTGAGCTTGGCACGAGACCCCCGGAGACGCCGGGTCCCCCCTGCCGTTGGCACGGTGGAAATGTCACCGTGACCTCAGCAGAAGGGTTTGGAAGCTGCAGGGAGCAGCGCGGGGCAGACAGGGAGGCAGGCAGGGGCAGGGCAGGGTGCTCTGCCCGCTTGGGGTGCTGGCACTGGGCAGGGGGACCCCTTGGAGTTTGGGGTGCTGGTGGCAGGGTAGGGATCCTTTTGGAGGTTGGGGTGCTGCTGGTGGGGTTGGGAATCTCTTCAGAAGTTGGTGTGCTGCTAGTGGGATGGGGATCCCCTCAGAGGTCAGGGTGCTGCTGACAGGGTGGGGACCCCCTCGGAGGTTGGGGTGATGCTGGCGGGATGGGAATCCCCTTGGAGGTATGGGGATCCCGTCGGAGGTTGGGGTGCTGATGACAGGATGGGGACACCCTCAGAGTTTGAGATTTTCTGGCAGGGTGGGCACCCCCTCAGAGGTTGGGGTGCTGCTGGTGGGATGGGGACCCCCCACTCACCTGCTCCGGGGAGCACGCCACCCGGAAAAGCTCCAGGAATCCCAGCACCTGCCAGGCAAGAGAAATCCAGGGATGAGGGCCCGGGTGCAGTGGTTTCCCGCCCTGGCCCCTGGCTTTGGGGCCGTGCACCTACCTGGTATTTTAGGGGGTTTCCCTGCCGCGCCAACCCCGGGCTGCACCGCACCCGGTACCGCAGCACCTGCAGGCAGCAGAGACCCCTGAGCCCGGGCACCGGCTCCTGCCCACCCCGGCGGGCACGGCGACAGGTCTGCCCCAGGCTTGGCTATGCTGGGGACAAGGGGTGTTTCCTACCTGTGGAGACCCCGAGGCCGCCAGGACCACCAGGACCCGCTGAGCTGCGGGTGGCCGGAACAGTGCCAAAGAAGGGACAAGGTCAGGATGGCTCTTGGGGGGGCGAAGGGGACACCTTGAGGCAGTACCAGGGTGTACTGGGCACGGGGACCAGGCAGCTCAGTGCCCTCTGCTCCTGAGGGCTCAGGTTTGGCCGGTTCCCCTGTGCCTGGGTCCCTCCAAACTGGTGGGGATCCCAGTGGGAGCAGCACCTGCTGCTTGCAGCCCCCCAGCTCCAGGGGGAAATCTTTCCTAACCCAGACTCCCAGGGGACACCAGGAGGCCCCAGGGGCTGCAGGAGCCCCAGTGTGGCCGTGGCCTTACCCAGACCCCCCGGCACTCACCAGCTTTTGCAGCAGCCTTGAGAGCCGCGGCCCCGGCGGCCCCCGGAAAGGCCCCCCCAGGGAAGGCTCCTGGGAAGAGACCTGCAGCACCTGTGGGGAGAACCACCAGTGTGAGCATCCCCAAAAAGCAGGTGCCAGGAGGGTGTCCTGCGCTCCGTGGTGGGTGCAGAGCTGCGGGGGCAGCGCGGCGGTGCCAGGGCTGGCGTTAGGCTGGGCGAGGCGGTGGTTAGCGGGCACTGCCCTGTCCTGCATCCCCCAAATTCCTGCTCCCATCTGCATCCCACCCACCGCAAACACCACCCTGCAGTGGGTGCTGCCACTCCTGCAGCCCTGGGTGGGCTGGCTGACCCCGTGCAGGCACTGTCCCTCTGCTGCAGCCCCCAGATTGCTCCTCGCCTGTGGGGTCACCCTGCCGTGGTTGATGCCATGGGGACCACAGGGCTGCCTGCTGGTGGCTGCAGTCCCTCAAGTCTGGGAAGGGACGCCCAGGCAGGGCATGGAGAGCTATGGAGATGGGGACAAGGGACGTGCTGTCCCCAGGGCAGGTCTCTGGGGACATTGGTGGTCTGTGCTCACCTGGCTGCAGGCCAAGTGGGCCGAGTCCCCCAAGTCCTGCGACCCCTGGAAAGAAAAGCGGGTGGGCAGCCCAGAGGAGCAGAGGAGTCCCTGCTGCACCATCCCCATGGGATGGGAGCACACCCGGGGACGGGCACAGCGACGGGTGACAAACGCCCTCGGCAGCAGCCGGGTCCTCCATCCCGTCCCCTTCTGCCTCAGCCACCCCCCACCCCGCCGGGCCACGAGGGGACGGAACCAAAATGTTTATGGCTGAGGAATGAGCCCCTGGGTCTCCGGCCAGCGCTGCCTTCCAACATCTGGGGCTCATCAGCCCTCGCTCCCTCCAGGCGCAAATTCCAGTGCCGCTGGCTCGGGGCGCGGACACCGCTCCGGCTGAGCCCTCGCGGCCGCCCCGCGTTTGGTTTTAATTACGCCGAAATAAAGGGCCTTGTTTTTCTTTCCACGAGCTGAAATCTGAGTAAACGGAGGTTGCCGGCCCCCGCCTCGGGCTGGCGCTCCCGCCGCGCAGACGGGCCGGCTCGGGGGGCCGGGGGGGTGGGATGACCCTGCCCCAGGCACAGTGGGTACCCCCGGGGTGGGCAGGGAGTGGAGACCCCCGTGCCTGCCTAAAGCAGAATCTCTCCGTGGGTGACGACAGGCACTGGGCAGACAGTGCTAGGACAGGGGGAATGGTTTTAAACCAAAAGAGGAGAGATTTAGATTGGATGTCAGAAAGACATCAGGGGATGGGGAGGCCCTGGCACAAGTTGGGCAGAGAAGCTGTGGCTGCCCCATCCCTGGAAGTGTTCAAGGCCAGGTTGAACAGGGCTTGGAGCAACCTGGGCTAGTGGAAGATGTCCCTGCCCATGGCAGGGGGTGGAACGAAATGATCTTTACAATCCTTTCCAACCCAGGCCATTGTATAATTCCATGATCTTGCTTGGCGTCAGATTTGCTCCCTGCACATTCAGTCCCTGCTGCCCCAGCACCTCCCCCCTGGTTCCCTCAGGCTGTGCATCCTCCTGTCAGCATCTCACCCCTCTCCCAGCGATGTCCCCTCACCCCTCTCATTTCTAGGCCAGGCCAACCCCAGCACGGCTGCAGGAGCCCCAGCAAAAGCTGCTCAGCCACGATGGCAGGCGAGTGGAGATGCTGTCAGCTTCCCACAGGACACCGGCTTTGCAGCTCCCCCAGGTGCTTTGACACAGCTCTGCAGGCAGCAAGCGCCCCCAGAGGGTGGGCTGGGGGGGCTGAAGGGGAGGGGGCAGCGCATTGAAGCGGAGGGTGAGAGAGAAAGGCTCCTGGAGGCTGTGGCAGGGCGGGGATGCTGCGTGTCTCGGCCATGGAGGTGCCTGGGGTGAGGGGCACCCCTTGGCCATGTAGGAGAAACATGAGGGCAACAGGGGTTGGGAAATATGCCGGCCACTGGCATGGCAGGAGATGGAGAGAGCCATGGAAAGGCTTCTTACCTGGTTTGGCAGGTTTTGCTCCAACCCCGAGTCCTACGGGAGAGTGAGCGGAGAGGGCTCAGAGCCGTCCTTCCTCCGGGCATCCCCCGGCAGGGGACACCCTGTGGGACAAGGTGGGTCGTGGCAGACCCCCTGCCCACCCCAAGGCAGCTCTGCCCGGGGTGCTGCCCCCCTCCCCATCCCAGCACTCACCTGCTCCCAAACCTCCAACTCCAGCACCTGCGAGCAATGGCACAGCCTGAGCACCCACCCCTGTCAGCACCCACCCACCCCTGCCAGCCTCCCGGGGGGCCGTGGGGGGGCAGGGAGGGTCACAAGGGTGCAAGGGCATGGGGCATCCCCCCTGGGATGCTCCCAGTCTGGGCAGGGTGTAGGTGCCAGCCCTGGGGTAAGTCTGGCACTGCCCTCCAGTCCTGTCCCACACCGTGGGGCTGGTGCTGGGACAGCCACCCTGGGCTGAGCAGCCAGACAGGGTGACCCTACATCCCCTGATCCCAGCTGGCAGGTTCTCAGCCTTCCACGGTGTCTCAGAGGCATCCAGGGACCCCCTCAGGCACCTGCTCATCCCTGCAAGCCCCTCCCAGCGCTGCCTGGACCCCCTTACCTGGGAAAAAGCCTGCTCCTGGGACTCCCACTCCCGGGATAGCACCAGGGACCCCTGCAAGAGAAGAGACCCTCGTTAAAATCCCCACAGGGGTTCAATGCAGGGGGAGGAGGAATATGTGTGGCACCTCCTGGGATCTGTGCTGCTCCCTGGGGAGGGGTGGGATGTGGAGCTCGAGGGCAAGTCCCTTTCCTTGCACCCCTCAGTTCCCTGGTGTGACAGTGGTGACAGTGCTGGGAGGTGCCCCAGCTGGGAGAGGTGTCAGCAGGACTTGGCCCTGCACGGGAAGGAGGGACATGGGGCTGGCTGCTGTCCAGCTCTGCTTCCCAAATCCTGTCCTGCACCACAGCCAGCACCACTTCCATCCCCTCCAGCTTCTCATGGCTCTGAGGGGATGGGTCCAGGCACGGCAGGGGTGGGGCTGTCCCAGTTCAGCCCTGCAGCCCATGCTGGTCCCAGCCAAGCCCCCTGGCTGGGGCTGCCCCGTGCCCTGCTGAGATGCCAGTGGGAAGAGCCAGCTCAGGCCAGTGGGACTGGGGTGACTGACTGGGGGGACCTTGCTGAGACCCATCAGACCCCCCTGTGTCCCTCTGCCTGACTGTGTGACACTGAGGTCAGCCCCCAGGTCCCATCACCTTCCAGGGCATCTCAGCTCATGCTCAGAGGTCACAGCAAGGTTTTTGGCAGCTTTAGACCCTGGCAGAGGTGTGTCTGCTGCAGACCACCAGGCAGACACCCTCTGGGTGGTGCCCCCAGCTCCACCAGGGCCATGGGTGGGTTGGGGGATGGCAGGTGGGTTGGGGGCACAAGGGGGCTGCAAAGCAGGGGGATGTTTCACTTCTGGCACCAGGGGAGGGGTTGCTGTGGGGTCTGCAGTGGGGTTTGCAGGACAGGGGGCTGCCAGGAGCAGTGGGGGTGGCTGCCATGGCCAACATCCCTGTGCCAAGCTGCAGCCAAACTTCCTGCCTGCGCTGGGCAGAGGGGCTGGAGTCCAGGGTGGACGGGCACTGGGGACTCTGTGGTGGCATAGCTGGGACCTGGGGACCTGCAGTGGCCTCCCCAGCAGCCTGGCCAGGCCTGGGGGGAACCAGCAGCCCCAGGAGCCGAGTACCCACAGTGACACAGCCCTGGCAACCCCGCCGAGGGGCTGGGCAGGGTGGAGCCAGTGCCCGAGGGGGACGGGCAGGTGGCAGGGCTGACACACCACGGGGAGGGGGCACGTCGTGCTGCACATCTCCAGCTCAGATGTGGGGCAAACTCTGGGGGTCCCCCCTCTTTGCGCCCCACAACCCCCTGCTCTGCCCCACCAGTGGCAGGGATGAGGGTGTTCCTCGTGCCCTGCTCACCACCCCGGGCACCTGGGATAGACCCCCAGTCCTACCACAGACATGCACTGGGATGCACTGGGATGCCAGGACACACAGAGGGGTGTCAGGCTGTGCAAGCACAGGGGATGTTGGGACACACATCCGTGGGGATGCACATGCAGGGGGGGGGTTCCCGTGCCAGGACCTGTCACACAGCTCCCACGTGCTCCCCATAGGGTGGGGATCAACCCTGTGCCCACTAATACCCCCTCCCAAGGTCCCGCCAGGGCCGAGGGCCCTGGAGCAGCTGATGTCCCTCGGAATGGAGGGGACACGGGCTCAGCCATCGCTCCAGCCGCCGGCTCCCTGCTCCGGCTCGGCACAGCCCGGCCTGGCAGCCGGCCGGGGGTTACGGAGCAGCTCCTTTTCCCGGCACATTCCCCACCCCCTCGCCCGCCCCCAGCTTGGATAAACAAAAACCCAACTTCTCGCTTGTTTCCAAACAAACTCAGAGCGTCCACGCAACGCCTGTGCTCCCCCCCCCCCCACGCCCCGCCCTGCTGGGAGGGGACACTCTCCCACTGGGAGCCAGTGCCGGTGGGATGGCCAGGATCCTGCCAGGGACCCCCATGCCCACAGCCAGAGACTGTCCCCCACCACGGAGGGGCTGCTCAGCCCCCCGGTGCTCCCCAGCCTCAGCCCCCACAGCCAGGCCAGGTCCCTGGTGCTGGGGGGTCTCCTCTGTCCCCCTGTGCCGGTGACCCCCAGGGAGCTGGGACAAGGCAGGAAGGCTCCCAGCACCCCTGCAGTGCATGGGCACCCCAGAAAGGTCCAGGTGGCACCTGCCCACAGCCACGGGTGCCATGCTCAGCCCTTCATCATCGTCACCCTCTGAGCGGATCATGGCAGGAGGGTCCCACTGCGGGGACACTTTCACTGCCCCTCCCCGGGCATTCCCTGGACACCACCCCAAGGCACAGTGCTTGTCCCAGTGCCTCGACAGCTTTCAGAGGCTGTGCCAGTTCATCAGCCACCTCCATGCCCAGATCAGGAGTTAGAGGGGGCAAGCAAGGGCCTGCAGAGCCAGGATGGCCGGGAGGGACACCATGTGTCTGTGGGGAGCTGAGCCTTCCACTCAGGAGCCCTCCCGGACTCCTCTGCTGCCAAATACGGCCACTTCTGCCCTTCTCTGGGAGCTCTTTTACAAGTTGCTCATGCATGCCCCAGCTGGGGGGGCTGTTCCCTGGTGCAGGCACTGCTGGGGGGTCTCTGTAACCCATTTGGTTTTACAAATCCCCCCCAGCACCACCAGTCCCTCCCGTGGGCAGCACCATCTCACCAAGTGTTGGAAACAGCCCTCCTACACTGTGACCACAGCCATCACCCTCTGGCTGGTCTCTGTCCTTCCCCAGCCTCAGGGCCAGCAGCCCCCAGCCCAGTTTGGGGTCTGTGTGCCCCCTTTTGTCCTTTCCATCCCTTCCCTTGGCACATGGGGAAGGGAAAACTGAGTCCCCAGCCTCCCAGCACTGAAGGAGCTCGGGGCTGCCTCTACCCCTGTCCCAAGCCTGCCAGGACCCACAAAGGGGGTTTCCCATTCTCCCAGCTGGTCTTTTGGGCCGGACTGGCTGTAAACCTGCAGAGCATGGTACTGGCCCCCAGGATCTCAGCACCCACCCCAGGGATGTCTTCTCCATGCCAGGGCAGGAGGATTCACACCCACACATGCAACCCCAGCTGTGGTGGGGTTTGACCCATGGAGGTGCTCAGGATCTGGTGTGGAGCCTCCTTGTTTATAGAAAGTGGCCTTTTTCTCCCCCAGTTCCATCCCAGAGGTCGCTGTTTGTGGTGCCCGCACTGTTCCGCTGCCGGTGCTGCTTCCGATCCCGGCGGGATCAGCTGCACCATTCCTACCTGCCCCACTGCTCACAGCTCACTTCACAAGCCAGAAATCCACACGATTTCTCTATTCCACAGCTTTTGAGACTGAGACCAGGCTGGAGAACCCACCACAGGACAGGAGCTCACATCCTCACCGGGCAACCAAACCTCGTCCCTCCCCATGCCCATGGGCACCTGCTCCCGGAGGAGCCTTGCTGAGTAACCACCACCATTTCCCCTCTTCCCTTGTTCCGCTGTTTTCTTTTTCTTGGGAGAAAGTTATGGAAACATTCAGTCTCCAAGCGACTTTGAAGCCGTGTTGTGTCCCGGCCCGAGCGCGCTGGGAGCAGCTCGGGGGGAGCGGGGGGGCTGCTGGCGGGAGCCTGGCTCCTCTCCAGCCCCCCTGAAGCTCCAGCTTTCATCTCCGAGCACTGGCAGATGAGCTGTTTGGGGAGGAAGCAGCCCCAGCAGGCCAGTGTCCAGCTGGGAAGGGGAGATGCCATCCCAGCCCCGCCACTGGCACTACTGGTGTCCCTGAGGATTCCGGGTGCCCTCACAGGGTCCCCACAGTGCCAGCACACCCAGCACCCACCTCTCTGCACCCCCAGAGCTGCCCCCTGTGATCCCAAAACCTGCAGGGCTGGGACCTCCCTGGGACCCTCCTGTGGGTGTCACTGCCAGGGGATCCCCTGTGCTCGACAGGGGAAGCCCTGAGGGGTGGATGGAAGCCCTGAGGGATGTTTGGAAGCCCTGAGGGATGGATGAAGGTCCTGACGGATGGATGAAGGTCCTGACAGATGGATGAAGGTCCTGAGGGATGGATGCCCACTCCAAACACTGGGACACACTGCACTTGGCACTTTTAGGGGAAGGCACAGCAGCTTCCCCACACCACTTGTGCCCAGCCTTGCAGGTGCTCACAGTGTCCAGCACAGCTCTGCTCCCCAGGGGACAGACCCCCAGGGCCTGATCCTGACCCATTGCTGGGGGCTTCCTCAGTGCTGCCATCTCAGCCCCTTGGCACTGCTCTGAGGGGACAGTCTGTGTGTGAAGGAGGGTCCTCCCTTCTCCCCCTTGATTTTGGGATGTCTCAGGGGTCCTTTTTCTGCCAGACTGGTTTGGAGCTGCACTGGCAGAGGTGCTGGAGGGCACTGCCCTGAGCCCCCTCCACGTGCCCCCACAGCACCCTGGCATCCCCCACACCGTGCCACTGGCTGTGCCTCTGTCCCAGCTCTGTCCCCAAGGGCTGGCCAAGCACACCAGGCTGCAGAGACCCTGCCCAGTCCTCCATGGGGGAGCATTCCTCAGGGTCCCACCAGCACAGGGACCATCCCCAGGGCCAGGGCCACCTCCTCAGTGAGCTGCTTCCCAAACCAGCAAACACCCCTGGAGACTGAGCGGGGGCCTGGAGTGGGGGCCACCATTCCCAAACTGTTCAGGAACTGCTGCAGGGTCTCCCCGGGGTCCAAAGTCCTCCAGGGAATGTCCCAGTTGGATGTTGCTGGAGAGCTGGGGACCAAAGCCACCATGGCTCAGCAAGGCAGCACGGAGCATCACTGCTGGACATGGAGAGTGCCCGGGACTGGGCACATCCCATCCAGCACCTTGACCAGGATCGGGCACTGACAGCAGCTCAGCTTTATAGGAGCTGCCCAGCTCTGGGGTCCCACTGCCTGCACAGCCCGGGGGGAACGTGGACGGGGTCCTGGGAGCTTCCCACACCAGGGCAGAGCAGGGAGCCACAGAGCACAGGCAGCTGGGGTGCCTTGGTGCCCGCACAGCCTTGGCACTTCCCAGGGGATCCTGGCCCCTCCCCTCCTCTGATCCTCAGTCCTCTCTGTCTGAGAAGCTCTGGCACCGATCCCCCCCCCGATGGTGGCTCTGCCCGTCACACGCTCTCCGTGGCACAACCCCCGGCTCTGCAGAGGTGACTGTCCCACCCCGGGGGTGCTGTACCCACCTCACCCTGTTCGGCCGTGTCAGGGGGCTCTCAGTCTGAGCTCAGCTGCTCTCCCCGCCTCGGTGGGAGCTCACACCCGACCCCGGCACACGAGCGGGCCCCAGGCAGGCACCTGCTGCGCTGGCCCCGGCTGTGTCACCTGCTGCTCTGGCTGTCACCTCCCCGCCCCGCCTGCCTGTGCGTGGGCTGGGGGGTGTCACACAGCCCTGGGGTGTCACACAGCCCTTGGGACCCGCGTCACGCTGGTGGCTGGACCCGGCGCTGGCGACACCAGTGCAGTGAGGGCGGTGCGGGGGCCACCCGGGCACCCCCGGGCTGAGATTCGGGTGGGTCGAGCTGCTCCGCGGCTGCACCAGCCCCGCGGGCTGTCCCGGCCACACACTGCGCGGCAGCTCGCACACATCGGCCGCGGGATGCTGCCACCCGCTATCCCTCCAACTCACCCTGCCACCGCACCGGGGGGCGACCGGTGCCAGCTCCCCCCTCCCTCGCCCTTGCCAGCCCCGTGGGAGTCTGGTGGCCACCACCCCGCGCTGCCCTGCCTGTGTGTTCCTGAGCTTCCCGTGTCTGCAAGCCTCTCATATTCCCAAGCCTCGTATCCCTAAGTCTCACGTCCCCAAGCCTCTCGTGTCCCCAAGTCTCTCATGTCGCCAAATCTCTCATGTCCCCAAGCCTCTCGTGTCCCCAAGCCTCTCATGTCCCCAAGCCTCTCGCCGGGACGCAGCGCTTCGGAGCCTCCCCCCGACAAGTGTTTGGCGCAGCAGCGCCGCTCTGGGACTGCCCCGTGTCACCACCCTCGGTGACATCCCATCCCACCCGGGCACGGCACGAGCCACCCGCCGCTTTGGGGAGCCAAGAGCCCTCCGCGGAGGTGGCAGCGAGGGGGGCTGCCCACTCACCGACCCTCGGGAATGTCCCCAGGGCAGGGCAGGGTGGGTGACAGTCCCTCCTCGGGGCCACGCAGCCGGGGCAGGCGTGGAGCTGCCCGGGGGGCTCGGAGGGTCCCCGGAGGACCGGGGCGAAGCACTGGCCGGGGTAAGGGAAGGAGCCTTTTCGTTCCTTACCTCCTTGCTGAGTAGCCGGGAGGATGGAGAAGAGGAGGAGGAGGACTCCGGGAAGGAGGGGTGCAGCTGCCTGCCTTGCCATCTCTTGAAGCAATGCCCCCGTGCTCCCGCGGGCTGTGTGTTTTATCCCAGAGCTGCTTAATTGTTGCTTCCAAGGATGCGAGGGGAAGGGGAGGGGGGGTAAGGAGGGAGGGGAAAAGGAGAGGGAGAGGGGGGAGAGAGGCACAGGACACTACGTCATGAGGAAAGGCCAAACACACACGAGCCTCTCCCGCCGATTGGGCTTGGCTGCTCGGGGAGGGTTTTTTTTCCCTTTTCCCCTTTTTTTTTTCTTCTTCTTTTTTTTTTTTTTTTAATTCCTCGCTGCTCTCTCCAAGCCGGCGCGTCTCTGCCAAAACCGCTGGAAGAGGGGGGGGGAGCTGCCAAGGCAGGCGGTGGGGGAGGGCACGGGAGCTGTGCCCACCCGCATGGGTGCCACGGGGGGTTTGGGGTCACGGGTGAGTGTCGCATCCCGGGGGGGCGCCTGGCGGTCCCGCATCCCGGGTGACACCGGCCGGAGGGGGATGGGATGGAGGTGGGGGTCGGTTGGGTGAAGGGATGGGGGTGTCCAGGGAGGGAATTCGGGGGGGTTGCCACTCCAGCCGCGGGGTGCAAGGGACGGGACTGGCCCGATGCCCGGTGCCGGTGACTGGTGCCAGTGTCCCGTACACGGAGCCCGGATCTCGGTACTGATGTCGGTGCATTGAGCCCCCTGCCAGTGCCGGGGCCAGTGCCCGGGGCCGGGGCCCAGTACCGGTGCCAATGTCCGGATCCCGGTGCTCGTGCTGGTGTCTGGATCCCGGTGTCAGTGCCCCGTGCCCCGTTCCGGTGCCAATGTCCGGATCCCGGCGCTGGTGCCAATGCCGGTGTCCAGATCCCGGTGTCGGTGCCCCGTGTCAGTGCCTGGTGCGGGTTCCCGGATCCGGGTGCCGGTGCCAATGTCCGGATGCCGGTGCCGGATCCCGGATCCCGGTGCCGGTGTCCGCCGGCGGTGGCCGTTAGGTGGCGGGCGCGGGGTGTCCGGCCGCCGGCAGGACGGGAAAACCGGGCAGTTTGCAGGAAAACGTGCTGCCGGGAGCCGGCGGTGCCCTCCCGGCCAGGGGTGTCCTGGGGACACGCAGTCCCCGATCCAGCCCGAGCTGGTGATGCCCACGCGGCCCCCGGTGCCCCCCGAACCTGGGGCTGGAGGGTCTGGGCTCCATCAGCTCTGAGCCCAAACTCCAGTCCTGCGTGTCCCCACAGGCCACCCTGACCCCTTTCTCATGGGGTATCTCTGCACGGGTGTTGGGGGACAGCTGGGGCGGCACTGGGTTAAACTGGGGGATGAATCATGGAATCATGGAGTGGTTTGAGTTGGAAGGGACCTTAAAGCTCACCTTGTTTCACCCCCTGCCATGGGCAGGGACAACTTCCACTAGCCCAGGTTGCTCCAAGCCCCATCCAACCTGGCCTTGGACACTTCCAGGGATGGGGCAGCCACAGCTTCTCTGGGCCTCACCACCCTCACAGGGAAGAATTCCTTCCCGATAGCCCATCTATCCCTGCCCTCTGGCAGTGGGAAGCCATTCCCCCTTGTCCTGTTCCTCCACCCCTTGTCCCAAGTCCTTCTCCAGCTCTCCTGGAGCCCCTTTAGGCCCTGGAAGGGGCTCTCAGGTCTCCCTGGAGCCTTATCTTCTCCAGGTAAACACCCCCGGGTCTCCCAGCCTGGCTCCAGAGCAGAGGGGCTCCAGCCTCAGAGCATCTCTGTGGCCTCCTCTGGACTCGCTCCAACAGCTCCATATCCTTCTGATGTTGGGGACCCCAGAGCTGAAGGCAGCTCTGCACGTGGGGTCTCAAAAGGGCAGAGTAGAAGGGGAGATCTCCCTCCTTCAACCTGCTGTGTGGATGAAAGACAAGGAATGCAAAACATCCCTCTCACTGCGGATCCAACACTGCGACTTCCCCGCGGTGCCAGGAGCTGAGATGCTGCTCATCCCAGTGCCTGCCTCCTCATGAGCCCCGAGCTGCTGCCAAGGGTGTGAGAGCACGGAAATGCCCTGTCTGCACCCCCTTCCCGTGGGGCTCCCTGTCATCAGGGCCCCCCATTCCCAACGTTCCTTCCACCTCTGCGGAAACTGGCAGCAAATTATCAGCAAATCCACCCAGTTCCTCCCGGGCTGTGAGAGGTGTGAAGGCCCAAACCTGGCCGCCCTCTTAAAGAAGTGTGAGCTCAATCCACACTCAGGACAGCCCCTCTGGAGCCCGGCTGTCTGGCTTGTCTCAGCTCCCACTTTATTTTAGGGAAAGTGCTGATGGCTGTGGCCGCGGGAAATCCGGGAGGTGGAAATTAGGGAACGTTTTGCCCTCCACACCCCGCGCCGGGACATGCCAGGGGATGGTGTTGGGGGGGAGCTGTGGATGAGCTGCTGGCCCCCCGGTGGGTTTTGCATGGACTTGTGTGGAATTGGGGGTGGATTCACCTGCATCCTTGCAAAAGGCTGCGGGCTGGGGACGTGGAGCGCCCCAGGATGTGGAGAGGGGATGAGCATCGTCCGGGGCAGCGCAGCCGGGCTGGCCCGTCTGTCCGTCCGTCCGTCCGTCCGTCCCCGGGCTGGCGTTGCCGGGTGATGTAATGCTTGAGTGAAAACACACGCGGTCGTTAAACACGAGCTCTCTGCTCCAGAGGAGCGGCGCGGGAGCGGATGGATGCAGGGACCAGCAGCTTTGCAGCGGTTCCAGCAGCCTCAGGGCTGTGATGTGACCCGCGGGACGCAGACCCCCGGACGGGGCTGGCCGGGAGTCCGGGTGATGCATCCTCGGTGCGTCTGTCTGTAAAACATGCCCAGAGCGGGGCTGGGAAAGCGGCCTCGCTGGGAAGCAGAACTGGGAAGCAGAACTGGGGCAGCTGGCCGGCTTCGAGCAGCTCCCATCCCTTGCCAGTGAAAGGGCTCTGACTTTGGAATGCGTGATTTGTACCTAGAAAGAATAGATGTGAGGCAAGATCTCCCCGCCCCTGGCACTCGCGCCGGGAGCGGGATCCAAACCCTTTGTGATTTGACCGGGGCAGAGCCGCCCCCGGGGACGGGCTGGGAGTGTCCCCCCAAGCGCGCAGGGAGTGTCCCCCCAAGTGTGCAAAGCGCCGAGGAGAAGCTGCTGGGGAAGGCACAGATACGGGTACGGTCTGACGGGAAGGGGGCAAGGCAGGAAATTCTTCCCGCGATGGGGAACAGGGGGGGATTGCTGCATAGCGCAGTATCTGGGTGAGAAAACCCAGCACGAGAGCACCTGGGGCCACATCCAGGACCTGCCTGTAGCAGGGCTGGGGGATTTGCCGGGATCTTTGGAGCTCTGGGAAGGACGGATGCTTCCTGCATCCAGTCCCCTCGCGGTGGCAGGTGCGGGTCACACACCGTCCCCCCGAACGCTGACAAAGCTGCTGGGGGAGATGCCAAAGAGCCTTACGCTGCTGTCACACACTCTGAGCTGTCCCGGGGGTAACACCAACGTGCAAAACACAGAAGTAAACACCCCTTTGCCATAGCTACGAGGAGCCCCACACCTGCCTGGCCCCCCAGACCCCGATCCTGCTCCATGAGCTGTTGACGGCGTTGCCGTAGTAACGGGGTGTGACGGGGCTTTATGGATGCACTCAAAGGAAAGGTATGTGTGAGGGGCAGGCCGTGGAAACAGCGTGGCCTCCTCACGGTCCCAGGGCAGCTGAGGCTGGTACAAGGGTTCAGAGCAGCCAGACTCACCAGCGTCATGTGGGGCTACATGGTTTTCATCCATCCTGTCTCTCTGCTGAGCAAGTGTTTGGCCACGGTGTTCATTCCAGGAAGGTGGTGCAGGTTCCATCTTTCACCAAGGGACAGGGAAGCTGCCTCTTCCCATGCTGAGCATCCTTATGTTTTTCTGCCTCATTTAGGTTGTCAGCCCTCTGGACAGTGCAAAAAGAAAGCTCCAAACTGTCTGAAATGGACACCTCTGTCAGTCAGGCCAGAGAAATGCCTCCCAGGGCAGGGGCAGGAGGGGGAGGTGAGTTGTGAGGCATGGACAGGGCTCTGTGGTACCTGGGAATCAAGGCAAGTCTCTGCTCAGCCTTATTTTCAGCAAGTGGAACTTTCTGGCTCACTGAGTCCCACGCTCAGAGCTTTTGTCACCAGCCCACAGTTGTCCCCATGGCTCTCCCGGGCCAGCTCTGACATTTGCAGCCAGGTCTGAGCTGTGGGCAGCAGGCAGGGCACCAGCCAACACCCCAGCACGTGGTTCCAGCTGCAGCTCTCGTGTTTTCTGGCCAGAAACCTGGATAAGCCCTGCCCATGGGCTGGTGCATGGCAGGGTCTCTGGAGCAGGGGAACGTCACCCCCTGCTCCCATCAGCCATCCGAGAGTCATGGAGCTGGTCTGGAGATTGGACTGGATGGGCAGCTGTTAAAACATTGAGGATCACTGGGTACTCCAAATGTGGTCTGGGGGTGGGGTCCCCATCTCCCCCTCCCCTGTGCATCCCATGGCATCCCCCAGCACGTTCCCTGGGCAGAACACTCAACCCCATCTGTGCAGCCCATGCCACAGCCCCACAGGACACCCATATGGCACATGCCTGGTGCAGCTGAGGGAGCCATCCTGTCCTTGGGATGAGGCTGGAAGCCACCGTGGGCATGTGTCTCGGCATCATGGGCAGGATCCTAGACTAGAATCACAGAATCATAGAATGACCTGGGTAGGAAGGGACCTTAAAGATCATCTCATTCCACCCCTGCCACGGGCAGGGACACCTTCCACTATCCCAGGTTGCTCCAAGCCCTGTCCAATCTGGCCTTGAGCAGTCCAAGGGGTGGGATTGCCTCAGCTGTCCCCAGGTACACTTGGTGCTGGGGACATGAGAGGTGTTGCCAGCACTGCAGGGGCTGTCTGGCGATGGTGGGACCTCTCCCTGTCAGGTCCCACTGTGCATCTGCCCGTTGGGTTTGATGAACTAACAAGGCTCGTGTGACCCCAGTCATACCCTGCCCAACCTTAACTTCCCATTAGCTCCTCTTTCCCTGGCAGTCCCTGCCTGGGTTTTTTATGGGAAGAGGTTTTGCCAACATGAGGATGATGCTTGGTGGGACCAGAGCTGGAGCTGCAGCCAAATGTGGCAGCAGGCTGCTCTTCCTTGGCATGACCAACAGAAACAG